TTAACATATTTAAGGGAGAAATGGATATAAATAAAATAGTTTTTAACAGTGGTATTCCACTGGTAGTGAAAAAAGTCTTCATAATGAGATCCACTGAATGAATCTCAGAGATGACAGGATTTACTCCTGTGCAATATTAACCTAGGTATAATTACACCATTCATAGACAAATGTGTATTTTGGATAAATATCAGCATTAAATAGGATTTTTAAAAATAAGGGTTTGAAATGGAGTTCAAACAAAAGTCTTAAGTTTTTCTCTCAGTAGATTTTATTTATTTTAGAAATGAATATGTGTGCTTATGCCAGAAGTTTAAGTTGGCCTACACCCTCTAAATTTGTGTCTTTCAATTCTCAGCAATTTATTTATTTTTTCACATTTGCAGTAACATAGTCTGAACAAAACAATGACATTTCCCGATTGGTTAGTTAAATTTCTCACTTTCCCCAATTTTACCTCCTGCTCTGTTCTTACCCTCTTTTCTATTCTGGCTGAGGCTTCAGAATGCCCTAGTTTTACATGTTCTTAGCCTCTTTAAAGTAGAAGACAGAGCATGTAAAATAAGAGGCATGCTTCTGTGATCACAGGTGATGAGCTTTTCCTGCAAGAAAATACATGGGAATAGTGAGGAGGTGAAGGGAACCTTTGCAGTAGCCACTGGTCATTCTCTCCATTCCTGGCCTGGTATGTGCAGCAAGGAGCTGCAGCAGTGACTTACCATTGCTCCACCTGAAGGAGCAGTCCAGAGTGGCAGCCTATTGTCCTCTCGGAAGTGGGCATCTTTACATTGCTTTTGTCAGAAGCACCCACCATGCTTGGTCCAGTCAGTTTGACTACAACAGCGTGAATATATAGTGGGAGCATCCTTTAGAATGCCACCAGTTTTCTAGCACAGATGCAATACTTGCAAACATAGTCTACCCAGGTGCAAACCTGGGCCATGCTGAGACTACAGAAAGATCCTGGCATCTTAGTGACCTGCATGTGTTAGGTAAAAAAGTAAATGCAGATTCGGAGACAATCATTACTGGCTTCAAAAACATATTTTCATGATCTTGTTCATATGACTTTATAGCCATCTCAAAGATTAAAACCCAGATTTGCAACCTGGAGTCAATTCTTACCTAAAATTTTTTTATGATGAAAAATTGCCTGTCTGTTTCTACTGAAAAGAAGTTTAATTTTCTAAGCATAGAAATTTCAAGTAAAAATCACATACTTCATGACAGAAAATATTTCTAAGGTAAATGTTATAAATAGGTTTTTTTTTAAATTTTTTATTGTGGGTTGTTCAAAATATTACAAATTTCTTGACATATCATATCCACACTTTGATTCAAGTGGGTTATAAATAGGTTTTGAGTACTTGTTATGGGCAAAATGCTGACAGGTTTGCAGTGAGCCCAAAGTTCACTCACTCTGAAGACTTTTATTAAGCCAGCATTGCCCAGGCTAGTTCCCCATGATACAGTCATACATGGTGAATAAATGGAGATTTTCCTTAAAGGAGCTTGTTAGCGTGGCTGAGGAGAAAGACACGCAGACAGATAATTACAAAACAAAATCATGTGAAAGGGAATATTACAAAGCCTTGGGTAGTTAGGGTAGACTTTCTGGAGACAGTTCTATTGGAACTGTGGTCAAATTTATGTAGGAATTGGCCAAAGGAAACATGTTATTGGTGATGGAAGCATTGAAATATATTCCAGGTGGAGGATATCACATGTGTAATCAAGAAAGAATGGGTTGCAAGTGTTTATCACAGAGTGACCTATTCCATAAGACACTAATCCCATAGAGGAGGGCTCCACACTCATGACCTCATCACTCCCAAAGGTCCCACCTGCAAATACCTTCACTTTGGGATTAGAGTTTCAACATAAGAATTTGGGGTGAAACAAGCATTTAAGTTTTTGCAGTATGGTTTATATACCAACAGTGACTAACAGTCACAGCTTCGGCCTACTATCTTCCCAGGTTTAAGCCCAGTGGAAAAGAGGGTCCCTTCTATGGTTATGGAACAGAAATTTGCATTGGCTCTGGCTCTGAGTAGGTCATTTGCCTCTGTTAAATAATAACTGCTGTCAGGGGCATCTGGATACTGATTGGTCAAACTAGGAAATAATCTTCCACCTTGGAGCAGAGGTTGGACTGGAGGCAGTTATGCACTTATAAATTGGCTTTAAAAATTAGAAAGAAAAAAAAAGGCTTTTTAAAAGCCTTAGTGTTTGTGGCATTTATTAGTTTCTTTAGTATAAATACTTCCATCATGGCTGATTTGAAGATGCCTGACTTGCATGATTCCTGAATGTTTAACAGTCAGCTCCTGTAGGCTAGTTGCAGCAGCTCCAGCACACCATCTGTGGGCTGAAGGAAGAGCTGCCAGAACCACAAGGATTGCAGGTGAGGGAGGGCATGGTACTTTAAAAGGAAATCAAAATGGTGCCATAAAGAGGGGTGGTGCCAGGTACCCAAAGCCAACAAGTAAGTATGTACTATTCCATTTAAGAATTTGTACACATTCTTAGGTAGTTTCTTTGGATAACAGTTTTAAGGACCATATAATATTCCATTCTGTGAAAGTTTACCTTTCTTTTACTGTTGAATGTTTAAGTTGGTAGAATTCTAAATAATACTTCATTGGACATGTCAATGCCCAAAGCCATTTTGTACACTTAAGACAGGTTTGTTGAGATAGTTTGCTTATGTGCAATTACTATGTTCAAGGAATGGACCTTTTAATGCTTTTAATAAATATTCTCTAATAGATGTACAAAATAGTTTTACCACTTTATATCATTCCCATCATTGTAGGAAAGTAATTATTTCATTATATTGTCATTAAGTATAATTAAAAAATAATTGATAGGACAAAATTGAATATCATTTTGTTTAGCATTTGTTCAAATTTCTAAAAATTCAGACATTTCAATGTTCTTACAATAGACATACTTCATATATTGAATTTTCCTCTCATTTCCCAGTTGAGTGTTTATATGTGATCTTACCATACTATTGTCATAGACATTTATCTTCTTTTACTTAATTAACACATAGAATATTTACAATTGGAAATTCTTGAGCCCAGAGCTCAGCTTGATAAATGTTGATGGGGTATTTTATATAAAACTCTGATTCTGTATAATTGAGGGTAACACTGGCTGATCTAATAGATAAATCCTAATATACAGTGAGTCAGCACAATAGAAATTTATCTCTTGCTCATGTTAGTGTTTCATAATGACTTTTCCCAGTTAAACATCTTCCTCGAAGTCATTTAAGGACAAAACCTCATTCTTTCCCATGATTTTCCTTTTCCCTTGGGCTATCCACACAGCTGTTTCCATTCAGTGGGGGAGGGGTGAAAGGGAATAGGGGATGAAATTTGGGAGAATTTTATGGCATCCTGGAAGTGCAGCAGTTTTTACGCACACATTCCACTGACTCAAACTCAATCCCCTGGCAACATTAATTGCAAGGGAGTAAAGAAAAAGGATGTGGTGAGCATCTATCCAGTATTTGCCCAAACTTCTATATCTGAAATGGAAAAATGTTTTCAAACAGTCTGATTTTGTTCCATACTACATAAGTGCACCTGGGAATAAATCACTAACATTACAGAGATTATGTACAAGATATGAATAGGGAATGGGAAACTTAAAGTATTGATAAGAGATATATAGATTTTTAAATAGAGCAAAGTGGTGGGGAAAATTTTTTGAATAATCATTGAATGGCTTTTAGTTTAGACAATACAAAAAATGTGGAGTTTGTTGGGTAAAGTGACCTTGACAAATAACTTTTGGATAGGTAGCATTCAGTATATAAGAAAATTAGTATAATCAGCTCAACTAGTAAACTGGCTTATTAGAATGTTATTTTAATTAAATATTTTAGTGAAAAATCTGTTTATGGATTGGGGAAAATCTTTGTAAATCACATATCTGATGAAGGTTAATATATAAAAGAACAATCCTTACAACCTGATAGCAGAAAAACAATGGGCAAAGGTCCTGAATATACATTTCTCCAAAGGAGACAGAAAAATGTCCAACAAGGATATGGAAAGGTGCAGATCATCACTAACCATCAGGGAATGCAGACCCATTATGAAATATCACCAAAAAGCCCTTAGGATGGCTGTTCTGAAGATAAAGGAAGTATTGGTGAGGATATAAAGAAAGGGAAATGCTTATACTATTGGTGGGAATTTAGACCAGTTCAGGCATTTTGGAAAATGGTTTGGAAGTTTCTAGAGAAATTAAATACAGGATGACCGTATGACCCAGATATCTCTCTTCTGGGTATGCCCAAAGGAAATAAAATCACTACCTCTTGAAGATATTTGCACTGCCACATTTATTGCAACGTTATCAATAATAATAGCCAAAATATGGAAACAATCTAAATGTTCCATCAAAGATGAATAGAACTGTGGATTTGTGCATATACTCAGTTGTATATGCATATAAAAATCCACAATGGAATATTTATTAAGCTTTAAAAAGGGAGATCCTGTCATTCACTACAACATGTCTGAACCTGGTGGAAACTATTCTAAGTGAAATAGCCAGACATAGAAAGAAAAATATTGCATGATTTCAGTTGCACATGGTATCTTCTTTTATTAAGAAATTTAAATACAGAAACAGGGACAGAGTGAGGAGAAGGGGAATGAGAGACATAGATCAAAGATACAAACTAACAAATATATAGGATGTGGACATTTCCAAAGGTCTAATGTATATCATGAGGACTAAATTAGTCATTGTCTTTGGAATTTTTACCAAATGAATAGATTTAAATTGTTCTTGCCATAAACAAGAAATAGGTAACCATGTGAGATGATGGATATGTTAATTCACTTCACTATAATAACTATTTAATTAACTATATTTATCTTAAAACTTCATGTTGTATACCTTTAACGTATGCAATAAAATTTATTTTAAAAAACCAAACAAGAATATTTTAGCTCTCTTTTTTTCTCCTTACACAGGTGATTAAAGTGTACAGTGAAGATGAAACCAGCAGGGCTTTAGAGGTACCCAGTGACATAACTGCCCGAGATGTTTGCCAGCTGTTGATCCTGAAGAATCATTACATCGATGACCACAGTTGGACCCTTTTTGAACACCTGCCTCATATAGGTCTAGGTAAGTTTAAAGAATCATAATCTTGCATCATTTTTTGTGCCCTGTAGGTCATATGGCAAAGATTTTCTTCAGATATATAAAAGTAAACAAAAGGGAATATGATCAGATCTTTTCTTTACTTTTTATTTTTCATTGTTGGTGATTGGTCATGAAAGTATCACCAAATGGAAACAAGAATAGAAATATTATAAATTTAGCATTATTCCTTGTTTAAATAATGATATACCAGAATTTTAGAACTAAACCATAGAGTTTAAATCTTCTTCTTCTTCTTCTTCTCCTTCTCCTTCTCCTTCTCCTTCTCCTTCTTCTTCTTTTTTTTTAAGTGGGGTTGCACTATGTTGCCCAGGCTGATCTTGATCTCCTGAGCTCAAGGGATTCTCCTGCCTCAACTTCAAGAGTATAGGTGGTACACACACGGCCATGCCCAGCTCTGAGTTCAAATTGAAGGAAAGATGAATTTAATAATGATCTTTGGAAACACAATGAAACTTTGAGAAGTTGACAAAACAGAATGTTATTTGGACTATTTTTTATGTTGATGGCAGTATGGGCGACTATAAGTATCCACAGTGGAAACTTATAATTGCCCATCATCCCTCCTTTCTTGTTTGTTTTACTCTTTTTGTGGTGCTGGGGATCAAACCCAGGGCCATGCATGCTGTCTACCAATGAGCTATACCCTCAATTCCCAATGGTCATTCTCTCTCTTTTTTTTTGGGGGGGGGGTACTGGGGATTGAACTCAGGTGCACTTAACCACATACCCCAGCCCTATTTTGTATTTTATTTAGAGACAACATCTCACTGAGTTACTTAGTGCCTTGCTTTTGATGAGGCTGACTTTGAACTCACGATCCTCCTCCCTCAGTCTCCCCAGCCAGTTGGATTATAGGCGTGTGCCACCGTGCCCGGCTTGTCATTCTCTTAATAGTGATGTGCACCGTAGATTTTACTTGAAAATTATAGAGAACTTCTTTACATTTTGAGGATATAAAGATTAACTTTTCAATTTTTTAAAAAAATTATTTGTTCTTTTAAATTGTATATGACAGTAGAGTCTATTTTGTCCTATTTATACAAACATGGAGTATGTCTTATTCTACTTCAGATGCTAGTCTTGTGGATGTACACAATGTTGAGTTTCACTATGTTCTATTCATATATGTACATAGGAAAGTTGTGTTAGATTTAAACCACTTGTCTTTCCTATTCTTATCCTCTTCCCTTTCCTTCATTCCCCTTTTGTCTAATCCACTGAACTTCTGTTTTTTAATTGGAAATGAGGTTTTGTATTATGAACCATGGAGAGTTTTTAAAGCTTCTTTTAATAAGTTATAAAGAATTCATTACTAAAGGGAGACAGGGTTCAACAATAGTTTTATTCCCTGTTTATTTTTATAGATATTGATTTTTAAAAAAACATGTTTATAGATAAGTAGATGAGAACGGAAGGAGTTTGTTATGACAATACCATTCAACTCTTTGAACTCTGTATTAGTTTCCTGTGGTTGCTATAACAAATTATCACAAACTTTGTTGCTTAAAATAACAGAAAATTTCCTTTTACACCTCTAGAGATCTGAAATCAGTAACAGTGGGTTGAAATCAAGGTGTCAGCAGGCATGTACTCTGGGGAAGAGTATATTCCTTGCCTCTGGCAGATTCTGGAGGCTGTAAGCATTCCTTGGCTCATGGCTGCCTTACACTAATCTTTGTCTGCGTGCCTTCTCTTCTGTCTGCACCAAATATAATCCCTCTTTCTTATAAGGGCCCTCCTAGATAATCCAGGAAAATCTCATTTTGAAGATCCTTAATTTGATCACATCTGCAGTCTTTTTTTTTTTTTTTCATAGAAGGTGACATTCACAGGAATTCAGATGGAGTTATTTTGGGGGGCTATTATTCATCCTATTGCAAATTCCTTCTCATTATACATTAAAAACTTTAGTAATAAGTCATCAAAATCATTTTAAATAACTTATCATTGACAGCTCAATTACTTCCTTCAATTTGTTTGAAGAATTGTGAAAGAATTTTATAACTAGTCATTAGAGTCATTCACTTTCTCATCTGACTGCCAGTATACAAAATTGTCCCTTTGTTTGATAGGTTCCAGGGTTTACACCCCAGAGAAGTGTTTCCAAAGTAAGGTTCTAGTCAGATGAGAGATTTGCCATTCTCTGATGAAACAGAATTTTAAAAAATGATATTGGCGGAAGTGTGTTCTTAGGAGGATTCATATTGAAGAGACCCTTGTGAAGTGGATGTACCTCACGCTGCCTGCATTCCCTGAACCCTTAAAAAGTGTTGGTAGACTTCCGGTTTGATGAGGACTGTCCTGGGACATGTCAGAAACCCGAGGAGAGGACAGAGTGAAACCTGTGGAAAAGAAGCTAAAATAGTTCCACAGTCTCCATGGGGATTTGGAACCTGAGCACCTCTGCAGTTGACAGCTGGTGAGTTGCAGCAGTGCCAGCTGATGGTGACAGCTGAGTGAGGATGGTTACATACCTGCCAGAGAGCCTGCGTTCTGAAGCAGTCTGCAGTGGCCAGCTCGGCTCCCTGTCTCCTAGGACAGAGAAAGCTCACTGTGTATTTTCCTCATTGTCCTTTCTGACTAATTTAACTTCTCTTTGTGATAATCAATCTCACAAAATATGATGCTCTCAAAAGATATCTGCCATATCTCCAAATTATTTAATTTACTTATACTGACAAGAATATAGCTTTATTTAGCATCACATATAGCCATAGTACCTCATCCTCTTTTCTTTGGAGGGGAACTTTAAAATTATTCTTTTGGTTATAATCACTACAATTTATCCCTAGCAAATAGCTTTCAAGTTCAGTAACATAGATCTGCTCTGCAAATCGAGTAGCAGTTTTCATTGAGAACACTGAAAATTATTTATACTAAAGAATGAAATGTACAAGTCTTTTATTGGAAAAGCTTAAAATGGAACATTGCAAAATTAATTTGAGCTACATACTAAATTTAAACATATAATAATATCAATGTATTTTTCCATTACTGTGTTTTCTAGAAGTTGCTGAAATAAAATCAGAGATTTGAGCATAATATCTCCTGGTTTCATCAACAGTGCTTTAGACCAAACAATGAGAAGGAATTTTAGTTCTGGCATTTTCTTTTTTTTTTGCATTCATATTATTTATTAAAGCAAAACAGTTGCAAACATAAATTCTACCCAAATGCTAACATTTATAATATTACACAGCCTCCAGTTCTTTGTCTAACAGTGTAATAGGAAAATAACCATTATGGAGGTGCTGTGGTTTTCCTGAACACCAAATATAAACAAATATGTCTTTGAAATGTTTTTGTTGTTGTTATTGTTTGTGCTTTTGACAAACCTATAAATACTCTTGCAATATATATTTAATCAAGTAATGGAATTAAGAAACATTTTTTTTTTGCATTTGCATATTAAATGAATAAAAAGAAGTAGAATGAGGTTATTATTTCTTCCTTAAATATGATATGCAGTGACAGATATCCTTTGTCAATAGAATGACTCCTGACACCTCCCTATAAGTCTTTAATGAGTGCCGTTGATATAAAGAACCAAAGGACAAACTCTTTGCCAAAAGTTTGGTGACCAGCTAGTTAGCTCTGCATGTTGTTCAGGAGACATCCTTGACCTCTTTTGGACTCGAGTGATAAGTTTTCCATTGATAAAATTTATGATGCAGGAGACCAAACCCAAGGCCTTGTGCAAAACAGAGAAGTACTCTACCTCTGGCTACACCCTTAACCCTAAAAAATATTTTCAAATACAAAAATAAATCAGTTCACTGTAAATAACTGAGAAATAAACAATAATCTTAAGAATTAAACATAATTATCCATAATTTTACAACACTGAAATAACTTCTGTTAGCATTAAAAATGTCTTTAAATAGTTTTCCTATTTTAACAAACTCTCCTTTTGTTTTCACGTTTGTAGACTGCTTTCCTTTTTATTTTTTTGTGCATAAAAGAAAACCCTTGAGTGTTCTTTTTCTCCCCCCACCCCACCATTTCACTTCATAGATTCCACATAATGTAGGAACATAGGAACTTCCCCAGCTTCCCTTGGCTGTCTTCCCTAAACAGTTTAGCAAATATTTACAGACAGGTTTATACTGACTTTTGTATAGTTTTGTAGATCCTGGAGACACAGTATGTAGTAGGGAAAGAAGGATAAGAATGTTAATATTTGTTATCTCTTAGGTGTCAATAGACTCCAGGGAAGGAAGATTGGGTGAAGGACAGCAAGTGGAGGTGGGTGGGAGAGATGTGCTTTAAATAGAGGCGTGGGAAGACCTCTCTGAGAAGGTGTGCTTGAGTGCAGACCTGAAGCACACAGCTAGCAGGCCAGAGGGAGATTGTTGTGGATCCAGGAGACAGGAAATGGAAAGGGCCCAAAGTGGCAATGTGCTTGTATGCAGGAAGCAGCCCAGAGGCCAGTGTACCTTGAGTAGTGTCACTACAGTGGAATGTAATGGCAGAACACAGCACAGAGCCACCAGAGGACCAGATCCTATAGGGCCTCATAGGCATGGAGCAGGCCTGGATTTTATCCTGAGAGAGAGAGAGAAAGCAATTAGGGGTGTCTGAGCCCAGAAAGCAATATGATCTGATTTAATTTAAATATATACTACTGGGCTGGAAATGTAGCTTAGTGACAGAACACTTGCCTAGCATGTGTGAGACTCTGGGCTGGATCCACAAAAGAGGCCAGAATTAAAGTTTTGACCCTTGGAGGATAAGCAACTTTGCTTTGCTTTTACAGCAAACTGCCTGTGGCTTATGGAAATTATCCCTGCCTCTCTTTCTCATTTGTGCTAGTTGTGCATGACCCATTGTGCCCCATTTACATGTATTCTGCATATTTATGAAATTTAGTGGTTTTGAGAGATCTTGAGACCTTATAGGGAAGAACATTTAGATTTTCAGAATAGAAGAGAGTTGAGGGTTTTTCTCTCGCTCCAGTTGGT